TATGTACTTCAGCAGCCATGTGGGATTATGTGGAAAAGTCCATCATGTGTGTTGAGCTGCAAATTCCATCTGCAGGCTATGCTGCTAGTGTGCTTCTAGAACAGGTAACAGATCACTGTGTATGAAGTTAGCATATTGTTTAAATAAAGTTGTGAAAATGGAAGGTTCCTAGTATTTTTCTTACTGTTCAGGCAATTACAAAACCAAATGCTGTGGTCTTCTTGCTGCATACTTTGATTTACTGCCCTGTGAAAGACTTGGTCCTGGAGGCGAAGGACTGATTCAATACTAAAGTTTAATTGGCTGCATGTGCAAATCCAGGTAGAGCATAGATGCTTTCATCTTGGGCAGATAAGGGATGTTTTATCTATACTCCGAGTGCATGTGCCTTGCACTGCCTTTCTTTGCCAAGGAACAGTGCAGTTTCTGTGTCAGTGTCCCACTGGGATCCGACTGAGGTCGGTTCATTTTACCTTGTTCCTCAGACAAACAGCAGATGGCTTGAAGTATGCAGAAGCAGTTAACATGAGTGAGGGTCAGGCTGATGCGGAGGAGCCTGAATGTGTATGTTGTCCAGTCTGGTTGACTTACCAAGTTGGTTACTTGATACATACCTTACCTTTACAGTCAAAGGAATAGGAGAAATTAATATAGATCTTTTTTAAAATACTTTCTTTAGGATGACTGAAATGGCTGATCAGCAAACCTACAGGTTTGTTTCCCTCTATGCACTCTGTTTAGTTTTATTGATTCCAAAGTGCTGAACATCCTGTTGGCATCATGGGAGGGTGTTCATTGCCTTGGAAATTCAGCCCATTGCAGGTCAGTTATTGTTTCAGCTCTTCAGCTGAGAAAGCTTCTGTGGACTTTGGTATCACACAGCTGGAAGTTGGTGGTTGCCATGGGACCATCGAGTGTGACCCAGTTATGTAAAGGATAGGCAAACAGAGAACAGCCCCAAAGAAATTATACTTAATGCTTCAAAAGAGCATCTTTGTCATCACAGAGAACTCGATGTTATTGTAGGGAAAAAAATGTGAATGGACAAGAGAGATCTCTGTAAGAAGATAGTAAATATTCCAAAAGATGAAATTCTGGTTTAAAGAAAAAAAATATCTACACTAACAGCCCTCTGGCTTCAGGACACATCTAGAAATTTCAGAGTAAGAACAGTAATTAAGGGGACAATGGATACATGAGAATTAATGCAAGTTAGAAGTTAGGAAGTAAGTTAGAGAATTAACTGCATGTTTTATAGAGCTGAAGTATGTTAGAAATAGTTCCAATTACTAGACAGAAATAATAAATGTAGCTTGTTCAAGAAAAGTAGAAATATTTGTTAATATTGTTCTGTATTTGGGAAGGTGTAGAATGTGATGCCATCAACGCCATTCCAGCAGAGAATTAAATCTATCTTAATGACTAAAAATTCCTTCTAGTGATGCACATAAGTAAATCCAGCAGTGCTGTGACTTGATTGTTTTAAGGACCTTGCTGAAAACTCTGTAGGCCTGCAAACAATTTCTAATAACTGTTGGTATTGATGTTCTTAAAATTAACTGTGTCAGAGTAAACAAGGGAAGGGTGGATGTTTGACTTAATCATATTCCAGCTAGCTTGACTCTAATAATCATCAAAATATTGGAAAAGTTAAAGCAAGCAGGACAGCAGGAGATAGTAAAGCTGTGTCTACAAAAGTCATCGGGTGCAAGGGCAGGGAGACAGTCCAACCCCTGCAGTCCTCTGCTACTCCCCAGCTCCTCCCCAGCCCTGTCTGTTGTTCGCTTTCTCAGCAACAGCAGAGGCAGTCAGTTAGGACTGCCATGCCCCTTTGGAACTCCTGTCCTGACACGTTACTGCTATGTGATATTGCAAAAGTAAGCGAACTAAGAACTGACTAACTGATGTTTAAAAGTTAAGTCATTTGTGGTGAATCATTATCAAATGGGAATGCTTCTGGAAATCTTGTTTTAAGGATCGAGGTGAGGCCAGATTCCATTGAACCTTTTCATCCGGTACCTGGAGACCAGGTCAGGATCTGTACTGATACAATTGGCAGGCCATATCATACTAAGCAGCGTGGTAAATGAGGACAAGGCAGCTTGCACGGAGTAATTTGGGCAGCCTCGTAAGCTATTATCAATCAAAATGCATTTTAATATAATCTGCAATATCATGGGGCCTGCAGAGGTGTTTTACTTCAATTTATAGACAAACTAGGAGTTTGAGGAGAAGACCCCTTGGGGGTACAGTGAGTAAACAAGTGGATGTCACTGCCCTCTTGCAGGGCAGCAGAGAGGTATAACTTTGGGTGTAGGAGAGACAATGGGCAAACAAAGGTGAATCGTGTGATTCTGGGGTCATGGGCAGCCTGTTGAAAATGGGAGTGAGTTCAGATAAGAGTCAGAGGAGATACTTGAAAGCTGATCGGTGTTCTGGTACCACAAGGAGAGCTTGAAAAGCTCCTTCTGATGGTGGATCTCTTGTTTCTTGATAGATAAAAATGGAGTGAGTTGATAATTGGTGGAGAGCACCTTCTGAGGGAAAGAATGCTGAAGGCTAAAACGTGCACAGAAACAGGCATGACACAGAAGTGATGGCTGTGAACTGCAGTCAGGTAGTTGGAAATAAGACGTGCATTTGTAATGAAATTCCATTTCAAAAGCAATGGAAGAAACGAGTTCACAAGTGGTGGTCAGGAGTTTCCTAACCGTGCATACGGTTCCTCATGGACTCAACCTGGGAAACATGCGTGCATTTCCACTCTGTTTGTGCTAGGAAGCAATACCTCTTTGCAGTGCAGATTAGCTTCTGTGTAATGCTGTCTCAACTCTGCTCTCCCTTTTCTGGAACTGATCTTTCTTGCATATAACCAGTTTTGGAATCCTTGTGCTGCTCTTCTCTTGCAAAGTAGCAGCTCAGATCTTTCTGTTCTTCCTGTAGATGCATCTAAAGAAGTGTCAATGAAAAGTAGGATGGAATGGAGCAAGTGCAGCAGGAGGCTCACAAGCAATGAGTTTATAAGCAATATTTTTGAGTGTTTTTTTAAGTGGTTTTTTTTCTGTGTTTTAGTGGTGGACACTTAATCTCTTGCTGCTGCACAGTACCATTATGGGTAAGAATTGAGAGGATTCTAGGAAGGATTAGACACCCAGTAAATAAAATTATTTAGTTTCATATAAATCTATACAATCTCTTGTTCCAGGCTTATAAAACACTTTGTAACAATGAGGTCTAATGTGGTGGGCAGGTTATTCTATAACTGTTTACTAGGAAACTTCTTTTGCTTCATCTCTTTCTAGCTACTTGCAACAACAGGAACTGGTGATTCAGAGTTCTGTTTCTAAATTTAATATGAGAAGGAGCATCGTTCGGGCTGAAGGAACACTGAGGGTGTGTGTATGAAGGGGAGGTGGTGATAAAGGGAGGACGCACCCTGCATGCAGAAATGTGTCATTGTGCCTCTGATTGCAGGGCATACACTCTGATCTATGAACAGAATATACAGGGATCAGAGTAACAAACTGGTTTTGAGCATTCAGCTTTTCAGGGATGATACTTGCCCAGTGTTCCTCTGTTGTATTTAAAGTAATTGATCTGCAGGGAAAATGCACAGTCTTTATTTGAGGATTGATACCATCAGAAGAGGAGAGAGAAAGAGAACAGAGCAAGAAGATTTAAGCTGTGGAAAGAAGCCTGCTTAGCTGGGGGTTTTTTCTGTCGAGCGAAAGTCTTGAATTTCATTAGGACTACCTCTTGACCTTTGTTTTGGATAAAGCTGTTAGCTGTTCTTAAATTGAGAGTTACAAATGTTGCAATTTTCATTACTTTTTTCCTTTTCCTTTTTTTCCTCTCCCAAGGTTACATGCAGGCCCAGCAGGCACACCCACAACTGTGTTTGTGTATGACAATTGCATCTGGTAGATACAAGTGGACAGAAAGTATTGATGGAGAAGTGTGGGTACAGGCATAATGACTGTGAGGATTGTTTCACTGCTGCTTCCCTTTCATGGTCTCCTCAGTATGTCTATCTCAGGATGCTCCTGAGATGTCAGGTGAAGAGCAGAGGGCTCTTCTGTGTGCGCTGCTGTGTTCACACTGAAACACATGTACGTGATTGAACCAGTCATCTCCCAGATGTGTCTTGTGACCCACATCTGTGCACTGCCCGAGTGCTGATGCAAAGGAATCTGCAGAATTGCAAGGAGAGGGAAGTCTTAGAACAAGAACATCAGAAAAATGGCGATATAGAAGTTTTAAAACTTGAGCAGGTCCAAGAAAACTGAAGCATTTTAGCATCTCTTTCCTTGTAGGTGGGAATGGTTATTTTGTTGTTATGCCATTTGTGGTCCAAAGGTGAGGACTTTCCTTGAAGGTCTGTGCAAGGCTAAAAGGAACAGATTGGTCCTACCTCCCTGGGCTGCCTCTCTAGCTTAATATAACATTAATCTGGCAAAGCATCAAGTAGGGATACTGGACTCTGAACAGAAGAAAATACGATGCTTGTAGATGCTGTGAATTAGCTCTTAAGAGCTGCGTCAAGAAACACAGTAAAGTGTGATATTTTGTGGCTTTTGTGTGAATGCCATATTTTTCCCTGCATGCAGTCATTCCAACACAAGTTAAATTCTTTGTTGTAGAAAAAGCTAAATATTTTGGAATGTTGAGTCTGAAACACAGATGATATACTGCAACAAAAGACTCCCATGGGATTTTTTTTACGAGATGGGTTTTATTTGTTAAATGAGTTTTCAGTAGTTCTTCAGTACATGCTATTGTATTGCTTGTGTGATGTCTTACAGTGTCACTGGTCTGATCTGGACTGTGATGACTGAATAAATTGCATCATTTGCTAACTGTGGAAAGATGGCTTGATCTGTAAGACACATTTGTGTGTATGTGCACTTTGTAATATAATTGTAAATCATAAATTAAAGATGTTCAGTTAAGGCGAAATACGAGCTGCATTCATAACTCATGGTGTTCTTGTCTGCCCACAGGAGTTCCAAGAGTCAGAGTGGATCATAGGGGAAACTGAGCTGCTTTTGTACTCTGTTTGGGGGGGGGGGGGGGGAGTAATGAAATAAGTTATGTAGTCTAAGACATCTTGAAAATGGAGACTTTTAAGTGGTCTTTGGGCTTCTACCAAGGAGCATTCTGCTGGCATTTTGGTTTTGTGCATTAAAGGAAACAAAACACTAGAAATCCCTTAGCTTTCATCTCCAGAGAAATAGCTGCACTTTGCTGCTGTGTTTTGACCGTGCTGGGTTTTGGCATGGTTGTGATAACTTATAATTTTATGTCCTGTGGGTTCTCAGTGACTTAAAATTACTAGGAAGAAATAGTTTGTCATGCAGTGGTTGGTGAGGTGGTGTTACAGTTGTCAGGGAGACCATGTCTGGGAGTTGGAGGATCAGACCTGTAGTCTGTTGTGGCTTTGAGAGTGATAATTGTCACAGAGGAGGACAGCAGAAGACTATAGTAGCTGTCTGTGGTGATGTTACCTGGTTGATAGTTTCTTGCTGACCCTTACCTTGGATGATAGAGTTGTAGACCTCCTAAATAAAAAGCTTAAGTGCAGGTCTCACTGGAAAAATTTGAATACTCTATGTTAAACTGATTATACTTTTGCTCGTTGCTAAAAAACTTTAATTTTCAGTGTGTGTTACAGTGAGGGAATGAGTGGAAGGATATTTATTTGTATTTCTGTTCAAATTGCAACTATTCACAAACAGCAACTCAGAGGCAAGAAATCATTTTATGTAACTTGATAATTTCAAGCGTGCCATCACATTACTTTTTGTTAACTGAAGGCAGTAAAGATTCCCTAATAAATGAGTCACAATAGTATTATTGCTCTTCTTTATATAACTTGAGATCTTGTAGTCTAATCCTGTTGGCCTTCACCTCCATGACTGTTTTAATTTTTGGTGGGGATTGTGTTTCTGTTTCAAAACCACTTCATGATTACTCATTTTGTTAGTTTCCTGTATGTATACAGCTGATTGTTTCTTCTTTCTTTAGGGGTGGAAGTAAAACTTTATTACAGCTTGCTTTTCTTAATTTGACAAAGCAAGTTTCAGTGACTGTGGCCAGTTTCAGCAAGTAAGTCTATGCAAAACACTAAGGAGTGCTGTACCCAGATTAACTGTATGTTGAAAACTCAGTTACACTCCCTGAGGAAGAGTTTCAGTAATGGGAGATAGAAAGTTTTATTTATGAATTGTACACCCACGTGTAAATACCAAAATTTCCTGCTACCTTATATCCTTCAAAGATATAATTACTAAATCAGTTTTCATAATAGAGTTACATATTAAGGAACATTTTCAGTACACTGTTAATACTTGCAAACTCCTTTTACTTTGTGATTTCTCTTGTGGTCAAAGTTTAGCTAATGTAGAAGATAAAACATTTATTCTGATTTCTAGCCCACAGCAGAAACTTAAAGGTTCTTCTATTTTGTAACTGGTCAAACTTGAAACTTTGCCTTCCTCAAACACTGCTGTGTTATACAGTATGAAATCTGATGCAATTCAACTGAATTTTTGGGCCTTAATCCTTTTGAGACAGGATTACACAATGTATAATGCAGTAAGGCTTTGATATAGAATAGGAAATTGAACCTTTTATGCAGTATAAGTATCAAGTGCGAGCAGAATCTAGCTCTTTGTCCAAAAATAACTTTTTTGTTTGTTTCAATATGAAGAAACTCTGACCAAGATCCAGGAGCTGGAGTCGAAAGGAGCATAGAGCATAGAATTCAAGTATTGTGAAAGGTAGTAGCATCTGATGCATGGCATGATGAGACAGAGATAGGATGCCCCTACTGAGTCAGGAGCAGGATTGCCTTAATGGTCTGTCATGTACAGAATGTTTTAACCCAACAGTAGCTCTTCCATTAGTAACAGAACAAGCAGCACAATAAGCCATTACCCATGTTTCGGGAGAAGGCTGCAGCTTTCCATCAAGCCTAAAGAATGCTGTCAGTCTGCCTGCCAGCTGGCTGTTGTATTGGCTCTTCTCTTTCTTGCCTTCAAATCCTAAATAACAGCCATCTCATGCATGCTTTTGTGTGGTGAGCAAGGATCCAACTTTGGTTTTTCTGTAAAGGCCTTCTGAGCTGAGGCTTCTTCAAAGTCAGCACTGAGTGAGATGGCCATGTCCTTTTGCAAGAATTGAGAGCTTACAGCAGTAGCACATCACCTGCCTTCTTAAGGTCACCATTTTGGGTCTTTCCTTCTGAGTCAGTTAGTGGTGAGTGTGGATGTCCCAGGTTTTGTGATGGGGATACAGAACAGTCCTTCACTTTGGCTTCCTAAAGCAAGTCTGTTCTTGGGAAACTGAAACCCGTGAAGGCTTAAAGGAATAGTTTACTTAAACTCTGTTAATCCAAAGTCGCTTGGTGGTTTTATATCTAAGAGAAAGGGTTTTTGTTTTAGCCTTTGAGGAACTTGAAACAGAGATTAGAATTGCTGTTTAGTCTAAAAGGGAACAAAAACTATCACAGAGTTCTAGACCTTGATAAAATTTTTCTTACTTAGAAAAAATGTACTTGGGGCCACAATTTGGCAGGCAAAATTATTAGTCAAACACAGGCTGTTACAAAACCTTGTCTTAAATTAAGTGGATGGTTTTGTTCATGTTTTGGTCTGGCCATGACAAATCCTGAACTCTCGACTGATGGCTTATGGGCATGTAGTCATATGTATATTACTGCTGTACACCCACACACACAGGCAGTGATCCAAGTGTGCAGATGAGATAACAGGAACATATAAATAAAGTGGTTGGCTAGTTGTCCTAATGTTCTTGAGTAGATCCTTGTTAAAATAATGCCAGTCAAACTTCGGAATAGATCTGCTATATCACTGATGACTTACATTCAGTTGTGATGAGATACTGGTCACTGTGTGGGAAATTTGTGGCTGTTTTGTATTTTGTTTTGTTTTGAGTCAACAACTTGAAATGCAAACCAAAAGCTCAAGTAAACTCTGCTGATAGTTGCAGGGTGCTTCCAGGCTACCCTGTTGTAAGAGAAGGTGTTTGAGGCCTGTAGGGCTGTGCCACCTGATCACTGGGGAGTGCATGAGGTCTCTTCGTGCCTGTGGGAGAGGAACACTGTAGTTGTCTGGTCTCACACACCGCCACTGCACTGGAACTGGTGTTTTCTGGTGGTGTTACAAGATAAGAGCAACATTTTCTCCATTGTTCCTGCTTTGTGTATCTGAATAGGTAATGCCCTGTCCATCACACATAACTAAGATAAACTGCCAGAAGTGATGTTAAAGAGGAATTTGCCTTAGGACAAGTCCTGAGTCAGGACACCAGGGCAGCAAGGGGGGCTGGATTGCGCCTCTTTCTGAAGGCCTTGCCTTGTGCTTGATGGAAGTCACAATGAGAGCCAGGGTGCTGAAATCAGTGGTGGTGTACTTGCACAAGCTCAGACTTACCATATCCCCTGTTTTTTGAAATCTCGGCATGCTGGTCGAAGGGCTAGAAGGTGATTTAGAAGAGGGCAAGGACCCTTCTTCTGCCAGGCCATTATGATGTTAGTGCTGTGTCCTGAACTTGCCTTGCTGGTTACTCACTCTTGCACAATCTTTTAGGGACCTGCCTGGGGCCCGCTGAAGGATGTGAAAATTACCTGATTTGACTGTGTACTGAAACAATGGCAACAACAAAACCTCTTTTGTTTTCTTCCAGTTGAGGGCAACTCTGCATTTATTTCTGTAGCAGCTGGGGAGCGGCTATTGTGCTACCCTTAAGTGATGTGAAACTTGCTAAAACAAGTTCAAATGGCAAGCACCTGGGGTAAGGGGAAGCTGCCTGCAGAATAAAGAAGCTGCCTCTGCACTAATTTCCTGATTTGGCCATTCAAGCAGATAGCCCATTGGCTGTATAAGTCAGGCAGACGGTAACATGGTACATGGCTGCATGTCTGTGAAGGTGGCTGCCAAAAACTTTGTTGTGGGTGCATGGGGAAGGCTGTAGCAATCATGGAAAGGTCATAAGTGCTGAAAGCAGGAGTGGAATCTGTCTGTAGATGAGATTGAGTGAAATGTATCCTTTTCTGTAGTTTTATTTTGTTTGAGTTGAAGTGCATACTCGAAAGCTTCATTATCTTTTTAAAACAGATTTGACTGGAAGGGAAAGCTTCACTATCTGTTTGATTGGAAAGGTACGTTTTAAGATCTGCTGTGTTTAATGCCTTATTTTTGAGATAGCATCCTCCTCAAACTAGTGGGAAGGAGTAAGGCTAAGTATATAACAATGCTGTAACTGTAAAGGGATTTATCTGGACATAATGTTAAGCCTTCTCAAAGATAGCAGTGCATTAAAATGTTAAATTTGATTATACTTTAATCATGCTGTTATCCCCCTTTTTCTGTCTTTTTCTGAAAGCCTGAGGGGTTTTGGCTTCTTGCTTTGAATGTTACAGCCACAAACAAACTTATCATTGCCTAACAAATAATCACTTTTAGATTGCGAGCCTTCAGGGGCAAGGGTTGTCTGCCCACTCCCTGCTGGAGAGCCCTCAGTGCAGAGGTTAAATTGCAGCTGGAGCATTTGGGTCAAATCGCAATATAAATTTAGTAATAGTAAATATTTAAATTAGAGGCTGTATGGATCTGTTAGTGCTGGTGAGTGGCGGCAAACAACACAGCGGAGCCTTACTGAACCTTTTTGCAGAGCTGAAAGTTTGCTTGTTAGAGCAGGAATGCTGCAATCTCAGTGAGGACAGCAAGTCTTTTGGAACATTCTTTCTGTCCTTAAGGCAACATTTTGAATGGGGTTTTGAGAAAATAAAGCATAAAAATGGAGGTGATCTGAACTCATCAGCAAAATTTCAAAACAACAGCCTCCAAAATATGTGTTGTAGTGCAATTCCTTTTATGCTTAAGTACTGAAGTACACACCCTGAACCAATTATGGGACTAGATGGACTAAGCAAATAGCTTACCTCTTACAGAAAGCAGCTTAAGTTCAGAAGAGGAAAAAGAAGTATAGTAAACTTAAATAAATCCCTTTGAGGTTAAATGCTTCAGCTGCAGGCAT